CACCGTGTCACCGCCGGCGACAAATAGATTCGCTCTTTAATCAAACTTGATAAAATTTTTTTATTTTAATTCTATAACTAAATAAAAAAAATTTACCAAGTTTGGTTTAATAGTTGTTGAGATAGTTTAATTTAAAGTTTAAAAAAAATTTACTTAGAAACAATTTGCTTGGTTTCTATTGACACTCCCCATATATATACCGGTAAGTCAGTAAAAAAAAATAAAAAGAAACCTACTTACCAAGATTTTTGCAAAATTTCAATATCTTACCACCAATAAGTCCTATTTCATTTTGAAAAACTGACCAATCACCTTTTCCAAAGCCTTGGGCTAAAACTTCTTGTGCTTCAATTTCGTTCAGCAAATAATTCGTTCCTGGTAGCAGAATTATAGCATTATCTCGTGTGTCTTGGGAAAATTGAATGATGGCTCGTCCAGTTGGCTTGATCCAATTAATCCATATGAAAAATAAATATTGAAAAAATATAAAACAAAAATAAACAATGTACCTGTTCTTTAGATACAGTTATATGATCCACATTCACTAATTGACTTTCCATGTATTTTTTAATCCAAATTCCGTCATGACCAATCTTTCCAACATGCCATACCCCTGCACCTGCCTGTGTGGTAAAAGAACGCATGTTTCATGATTTTTTGTCGGCAGCAAATAACATTGAAAATAAGGAAGGTTATAAGAACTTTTGCTATAGCTACTGATTGATTAGCGCCTAATGATAATTATAAAAAAAAAAAAATGCATTTAATGAGTATCGAAGTGAGTATATTATCGTACACATTAGTAAATTAACCTTTTCCACCAGCTTTTTGCGTATACTTGGCACTTGTTATAGTCTCACCACTAAAGACAATGTGCGGAACATCGAAAAATTCATCCTAATAAAAATTAAGTAGCGCTTGTAATCGAAATTGCTAGCAGAAGACGCTAAAAAACATTACTAACAATATTAATAGAACCAAATACTAATATCTTAGGCTCAACCATTGTATGTAGTTGTTATTAATGCGAGTCGTTAAAGCGGAGCGAGGTTTAGGGTTACTTTTTTTGATGCTTAGCAGGTTATATAAATATCAAGAATACAACTTATGCAGAATTCGCTCCACATTAACTGACCCTTAAAATGGGATCAATAAAAATTTGGTGGTTATAAATTTGGTGGTTACACAGTTCAAAAAAGTCAAAATTTTTTTTTTTATTCGCTTTAGACAAGCGTGAAGAGATGGTAACAATGAAAAAAAAGAAACAATATGTACACATAAATAATGAATCTCAAGATACATAACTTGCCAACAGGGAAACAGTAATCATCTAAAACTAACACGTAAGTAAGGATGTTATTAACTCCTCAAAAAAAAAAACATACAAAATCCAATTAATAAAGAAATTTATATATCATTAACGATATTATTTTGAGATGGTGTGTATACCAATATTATTAAAAGGTTTAGTAAAATAGAAATAAAAAAAAAATTTATCAGCTAAAATTTAGCGTTAATCTCATCTCAACCAGCGTTTTCATGATCTTCTTGTATCACAGAAACAGTATCAGTATAGTTATGAGGTATCTTTATAAAGTCCTAAATAAAAATAAAACAATTGAGCAAAAAGGGAATAAAAAATACTAATCATTATATTTATGATCATTTACTTTTAAATTGAATTTGGGATCATCTTGAGTGATGAAACGATTTTTTAAGAGATCTTCAGCTGTTGGCCTGAGATCTGGATTTCTGTTATTTAAAGAGTTTAATTAAATACAATGAATTGAGCATGATGATGATGGTGTTCATCAGTGATATCGAAATGGTCTAAGTGACAGGTTTTAACTTAGAAGATATTCAGTCACTCAATCTGACCATATTTATACCATTGATGAGTACCATCTGGCCACTTGAAAAGTAAAATTGTATATATCACTTGTACAAATTCTTACATTGTAAAGCATTGTTTTAAGAAGTCCAGGGCCTCTGGTAGTTTTTTAATATTTTCACTTATTGGAGGCGCTTCTTTCTCACTTCCAAGCTGAAATATTAATATTTGGTGAGAGAAATATAACAGCTAGAAACTAAAAATCTTATAATAGTACCTTAAACATTGTAGTGACATCCGTAAATGGAGCCCAGGGTCGCTCATCAGTAAACATCTCCAATACCACACAACCAAGACCCCTATAGATTAAAATTTAGTAGCAAATTATCCATATTAAGTAATGATTTATACTATCTACTATTGCTATTATTATTATTATTATTATTATTATTATTATTATTTACCATATATCTACTTTAGCACTGTACCCATTAGTGAAAACCTCTGGCGCCATCCAGAAGATTGTACCTTGTAATGTCATATTAGATTTGTTGTCGTAGGCCAAGGCGTCTAATAATAAATAAAGATTAATTTAAATTTGCTAAATGACTCCAAATCAATCTAAAATACACATGCGAGAACGAAATTTAAGTGAATTTGAAATTTCGAGAATTTAGGGTTAGAGTGTAGATTAGATAAAAATAAATTCTATCCTAAAATTCTAATGTTATTAAGAAATCTCAAAACTACTTGGATTCCGTTCTCACTTGCAATATACATACCACTTCTCTTTGATATTCCAAAATCAGAAATTTTACAACAACCATCTTCATCAACAAGGATATTATCCGCTTTAATATCCTGTAAAAGATAAAAAATAAGTTTACTATTCAAGAATAATGTTTATTTATTTGGATAAACAGAAACAAAAAAATGTACACTACCCTATGCAATATTTTTTGATTATGCAGGTATTGTAAGCCTTCTAAAATCTGTCGTGTGAATGACCTTACTACAGGTTCCTTAAACGGACCATTACTTCTTAAAACTGTACCGATGGATCCACCATTAACATATTCAAGAAAAATGTTAATATATTCATCGGTTTCTTCATACCCTGTTATGACAGCCAAAGGTGAATGGCTTTAACTTCAACTTAATTGTAGAATAAAGAACAATATGGCGATAAATGAAAATATTTGTACCGATATATGAAACTATGTGATCATGATCCAAGTCCTTTAAAATTTTCATTTCGTCCTTAAAAGATTTTATCTTTTACATGAATAAATGAATGTGTAAGTCTTGAAATTTATATAGTAGTACTGTGTATATACCATAAAAAAATCCACAACATACCTGAACCTGATGACGTTCATTTCTTTTATCTGAAGGAGTTAGCGGTTGCTCTATTTGCTTGACCGCCATCACTTCTGACGAGCTCAGGTTCAACGCAAGGTAGACTTTTCCGAAGTTACCTTTGCCTATTAGTCTACCTTTTGCCCATTTAACAGCTGTTATTTTAAATATGGTAAATAAATAATGTAATTTTAAAATTCGTTAAATATCTAATAATAAATAAAATATGGTAAATCAAAGCACACACGTTTTTTTTCGGTACAATCTTCGTCCGAACCGGAAATGCAAGGTGCTTTTTTACCAGTAGGTATTTGCTCAACAACACGTTTGTCCCATAGTTTAGTAGTAGGCCTTCTACCTAATTTTCCCTCCTTTACTGCAGTGGCTTCAACTGATTTCCGATTTGTGCGTTCACGCTCTCGCGCTTCTCTAGCGACAACACGGATAGACTTTACACGTGAAACTGTTACTCCACTTTTTTCAAGAATAACGGATGCTGGCGTTGTTTGTGGCAATGGCACATCACTGGGAGATGAATTTTGAGTAGATCCATGAGCATCAACAATGGGCATATCAACATCATGATTGGGGAAATATTGCTCTATATCTTCAAAAATATCTTCTGCAGTTGGCCTCTCAATCCAGGATTCTTCAACCTTTACGCCTCTGCGCTTTGAAACTGTTCGAGCAAGTCCACCAGTATTCCGCTTTTTAGTCTGCTGTGATTGCGAGGTTATACTTTGAATTTTGGCAATTTCCTTATTTGGTTCGGCATTTTCAGGTAAATTGTTTTGTTCAATATTAGCAGGATTTCTGTCAATTGCTACCTGGTTATCATTTTGTTTAAGACTAATTCGTTTATGTATTTGGGCTGATAATTCTTCATCATTTGATAAAAGCCTACCGCCATCATTATTTTTATCTGTAATTTGGTGCGAGGTATCCACAGGACTTGATACATTGGATGATCGCGGAGGATTTGTGGGTTTAGGTGGCTTAGCCCATATAGATATTTCTTCGTCAATACGTGTAGAACTACTATCTGGCAATTTGGGCCAAAGTGGTTTTTCATCGACATTGTCCAGAAAAACTACATTACTGTGCTGTGATCGAATATCAGACTTCCTAAGTGTAAGATCAGGTTCGGATGACATTATGTGTTTATGTACATAAGGAGACTCATTTTCTGGCAATTCGTGAAGGTTCATAGATAGAACATTTTGTGACATTGGCAAATGAGGCTGTGATTTACTGTATTTATTGGGATACTGGTTATATGGCCCAACACCATAATACTGGGATTGATTATGTGGTTGTGGAACGGTATGTGGTTTTAAAGGAATAGACATAGGTGCTTGAGGGATATGTTCTCTGCTAGTGTGACGACGAATTGCACCATTTGCTGGCTGTAAACTCCGATGATGTCTGAACCTATTCATATCCTGTGGATCTTCTGCTATCGAATTAAAATCATTTTGCAGTTGTTTTCGCTTGACCAATAATTTTAAGTTACCACGATCATCTACATTCATGCATTTTTGCATGAGATCAAGATCACTAATTGGTGGTCCTACGTCCGACATAATAATAACAAATGAGCTCAGGTTCGTTAATCAAACCAAGAATTAAAGGAAGCATACCTTCTTTTTGACCGAACTCAGTCACGTGAATTGTATAATTTTCTTTTTCATTACAGTCAATCCCTAGTTGATAGAATATTGTATCTTTTATCGAATTGATATCTTCAAGATCTGTAATTTCGGTTGCAGTAAAGGTTTTCATATTATCAGTTACTTGAATCCATCTTTGCTTTGGTGGATCAGCAGAAAAAAGTGCACTGTCATTTGACTTTAAAATTCAAATAATAACGTTAAATATAATTATTTTAAAATTCTATATTTATATATATATACTATATAATATACATAAAATATTAAATGAAAATACTCATACCGAGTGACTTTGCGATCTATTATGGGATGTATGTTTAGTCTGTCTCCTGCTAGATTGAGGGCTTATGTTTTTGTCTTCTGACTTGCTTACTGAATGCTGATGTGCAACAGGTTGATTATGAAAATTATGTGAATGTGAAGCGGCAAAAGAATGTGACTGCTCTGGTAAATGTGACATTGATATCCCCGCCACAAATTTTAGTCCAGCAGAAATACTTGGTTGAAATTCATGTTCAGGAATAGCTGAATTTGGAGAAAGACTCTTGTTACTCTCTCTGTCCCAACCTATTGAGGATGTTCGAGGATTAATTATAGGGCTGGTAATCGGCCCCCTTTGGCTGAAATTACGTAACTCTGGAACACTAGTAGATAGTTTTAATTTATTTTGAAAGGTAGAACCATTTGGAATGTTTGGATTTGTAGGTGAATATTGACCAATTACTGAACTAGTTGAAGACAATGGACCGGTAATGGGGCTTTGCATATTTTCGAGAGGTGGACTCCCACCTAAAGTCTGCGAATCCTATCAAAAGAAAAAAAAACCAATTAATTTTGGTTTGTAATAATTAAATTTATATTTTATGAAGAAAAATATGATTTATTATCCCCGAACCTTCTCAGAAAACGACTGACGTTTTGGTCTACTATCACGAAGTTTTCTAATAGCCGTTATCAATTTAGATCGACTATCAATATCCTTTATATTCTTGCTTTTCCTCACGTTAGTAAGTGCAAAAAAGTCTTCACCATATAACTTGTTTTCTGATTTTTCAGTCATAAAACAAATTAATGGTTGAAAAGTTAGATATAATAGACTAAGGAAAAAAAATAAATGAAATTATAAAATACAATACCAACGAAGATTTCTTTATATTCACTAAAGCCGTTATCATCGAGCCAACGCAATACTCTCTCTAATGGCCAAGTAGAGTCTTCAATATCTCCGTCTATTGAGGTAGATCTACTTCGATCATGAGTATGTCCGGTTATGTGAACCCTACGAGTCAACGAAGTCGCACTAGAACTAGGAGGATAATCTAAGGCAGAGCCTCCAAGGTCTGTAACTATTCGATCGGGTGGTGAATGTTTACGTTTGGAGAAGGCTGCTTCACCTGCAGTCAATGCTAAATCACTAGTTGTTTGTCGAAAAGAATTTGACAATGGCAAATTTTGCTCTGATTGAAAATCGTCGTGATGGTAGCCACCCGAGGAATGCGCGCTAGATACGGAGGATGAACGTGAACGAGCCTCAAGTGTGGAGAAAGGACCGTTGGGTGTTGCATAACTAGAGAATGTTGGCGACGCTAATGGAGAAGGTGGGCGACCATTTGCATACGTTGAGTCGTTATAAGGTGAAAGGTTTTCGTCTGAAGGTCTTCTTACACCTACACTCGGTGTTATATTGGTGCCAACTGAAGGACGTCGTTGGTTGTTAACCGACAACATGTTGAAGCATGGAATTCACTTGGTCAGTTTCTTCCGTACTATACAAAATCTTAATTTTTGTGTATCCATATGCCACGATTTGAAGTTCTTACTTCGTGGCACAGATTTTTTGGGGTGCAATAAGATTCAGTGCAAATAATATACGTGATGTTTAATTATCGCATTATTGCATATCTCAATTATATATAGATTATAGATGTGATTATTAGCATCATTTGTCAATATGATAGGTCCTAAATAACTCTGAGGTCTTAATTCCATTGAACTACGCAAGAACCAATTATATTACAACATATTGAAAAATTGGATAACAAATGTAGAATTTAAAAACTAATTTTATACATATTTGCAAATTTTAATACTTAAAGACCCTAACACGTAAACAGATTTCTATTTTACTGATATATATGTTGTACGTACTCGGGGTTGGAATCGTCCCAATTTAGAATCAGGCTGCCCAGATGGGAATTACCATATACAAGACTCCCCAGATATCAGACCCCCATGTACTATACCCGGTCTATAACATGGGATAAAGTTTTGGTAAAATGTAAAAGACTGGGTATATAAATAGGAATAAGTATTAATTCAGCTATCACAAACCCCCAATTATCAGACTTGTACGTACGTACGTACCCATACAAGAAATCCACTG